CATCCACCCGTGATACTATCAGCATAATGCAGAGCTTCCTGACAGCTGAAAAGGTTCCTCTTGGCTTGAGTAAGATGCACACACCACTGAGGAACAAATGCACTCTGGCTTTCATCTGCCTAAAGAAAACAGAAGGTACCAACCAAGATAGTCTGCATTTACTGATGCACTGATTTTACTACATTCCTTGCCAATTTTAAACCAGAAGAGATAAAAATCTATGTCATGCTACAGTATTACCCAGTCTAAAAGCATCCAACTGATAATTTTTTTTTTGGTTGGATGCTGGATAAAAACTTCCTTTTAAGAACTCTTACTTAGGATGGCTCACGTTGGAATTGTTGGGGAGGGGGTTCCTTCTCTACCATTGCTGGTGCAGTAAAAAAACTAATAAAATAGGAACATTCACCACAGAATGAATTCTTGAATTTAGCCAGCAGTTCAGTTCATTCTGGGTTACTGTTAGAGGGGAAAAATATTCCTTTATTATTGATCCATGGAAATTTTACAAAAATACAGTATAGCTGTTCAGGTTGAGAAGGAAGTGGTGTCCCTGTCCTTGTACCTCACTGTGTTCCTATGCAGAGGTACAAGGTACAAAGTTAATTGTTATCCAGTTCTCTCAAAACTAGGAGCCTGTAGTACATCAAAAGGTCTGAAAAGTGGGAATTAGGAGATAGATCAAAAGACTAGACATGAACAACTTAAAGGATGCAGCTACTACATAGCAAGAAACAGTTCTGAAGGAATTTCAAGGGGAGGCAGCATGTACATGTTGGAGAACACTTTGGCAACAAATAGGAGTAGCCTAGGCCAGCAAGTAGAAATTAGGATACACAATAAACCCACAAGCTGAATCATTCCAACAACTGCAGCATTCTGTCAAATTGATAACATTCCCTCTGGAGCAGAAACTTGTGCATTATCCTCTGTGACAAAATGTCCATTAGAACAGACCCCAGCGAGAGGATTTGGTGTGTGACAGATTCCAAAGAACTATATGTACTTAGTCGTTCAAAGCCTGTTTCAATATTGTGACAGGTTTCTGACAACTGACAGATGGAGGCTAGAGGGAGATAAAAACCAGTGGATTAACCATTTCTACAGTCTGATTATTCTTACAGCAATAACACAGACAGCTCAATATTGCAACCTTTCTGTTATTCAGCATCTCAATGAGGAGTCTGTAACATTTCATCAGTGGTCTGCACAGTTCTAGCTGCTTTGAGTCAACTGGGAGCTGTTCTCAGCTGCTGGCCAACAGCATCATGGCTTGTGCTGGCTTTTCAGTGCAGTCCCTGGGCATAACAGTCATGAAATGAGTGGTTTAGGGTTGTTCAAAGAATAACCATCAAAGGTATTAGCCAAGAGCAGTTTTAATATGATTTATAAAGGCATGACTTAATTCAATGGCAACATTCATCCTATTAGTTATTACATGGATGAAGTATGCAAAGGAAAATCAAGGTAAAACCAAACTAAAAACAATCAATACAGAGACCAAGGCAGCAAAGGGTAAAGGAGACCCTTCATTGAGTCACAAGGTTCAGAGGTCTAGCCCTGCTTTCTAAACAACTGACTGAGCCTAGGTGCTGTGGACACAGTCTTAGTCTCAGACTTGGTCAAAGGCTTACATCTGAAGGGTTACAGATGTACCAGTTCACCATGGAGGGAACTTTTACATGTTTTTCATTTAGCAGCAGTTTGAAGGTTTAAGGATCTTATGAAGTGAGTCAATAGAATATACTATAATTGCTGTAACCATCTATACACACATACAAACACATACATAAATACATATGAAAGTACCTGTTAATAATTAAGTGTGGGGGACTTCAGCCCAGGGAAGGAGTGTTCCAAGGCTGTTAGGGATAACCGATTGTCCCCTTCTCACTTCCCACCTTAGCCAGGGAACAGGAATCCCTGATACAATCAGTGCCTCTTTCCTTAGCCATGCAAAAGTGCCCAGTATGGTCAAGGAATGCTTCCCCACCAAACTCATTACACAAAGGCCAAGGCCTAATGGGAATTCCTGAGATTATAGAGCAGCCCAGAGAATGCGGAGATGCATCACCACAATCATCCTTCTGTTTGATTACACTGGCTGCTTTACCAAAGAGATTCCACAGACCATTCTTCAAAGATACCTGTAGATTGGGATTATCCCAGGAAGAAGAATTTTATCACTGTGTATCAGACTTGAGTAGTGTTGGGAAAATGGACACATTTCTGGGAAGATATATGCTGAAGGAACAAGCTAAGCAGATGTGCTGGACCAAATCCCTTGGAAACTGGAAACCTGACACAGTTCTAAAGATGCCTGCCCAGGTTCAGAACTAACAGGGTGGGTATTTGCTAGGTTTTTCAGTGAGTCAGGGATGCTTAAGAGGAACAGTGGGAGGACTGGAACTGCTCCAGTCTCCGAGAAATACACAGGCATGGGGCATATTGTACCAGTGCATTTCACACCAGTGTAGTTTTGTATGCACAGAACACATCTACAGCATGCTCACAATTACATGTGAGTGCAACCAAAGGAGTTGACGGTCAGGTTTTAAAATGCTTATGAAACCAGTTTTGTGTAACTTTGTGTCCTGGGTTCAGCTACAGCAGTCATTTTTTCTCCTCCTTAGTAGCTGGTGCAGGGCTGTGGTTTTGACTTTCAGCCTGGGAACAACGCTGATAACACCGATGGTTTTAGTTGTTGCTCAGTAATGTTTACTGTGACCAAGGACTTTCTCAGTCTCATGCTGTGGCGGGGAGGAGGGGGAGCCGGGAGGAAGCAGAGACAGGACACCTGACCCAAACTGGCCAAAGGGGTATTCCATACCACAGCACGTCATGCCCAGTATAGAAACTGGGGGGAGTCACCCGTGAGGCCCAGATCGCTGCTCGGGTCGGGCTGGGTATCGGTCGGCGGGTGGTGAGCGGTTGTGTCCTCTCCCCTTGTTATTCCTCTTATCATTATTATTGGTAGCAGTAGTGGTTTGTGTTACACCTTAGTTACTGGAGTGCTATTATCTCAACCCGTGGGAGTTACATTCCTCTGATTATCCTCCCCATCCCTCCGGGAGCGGGGGGAGAAAGGAAGAGGTGGGGGCAGTGAGCGAGCTACTGCGTGGTTCCAAGTTGCCGGCTGGGCTTGAACCACGACACTTTGATCATACACTCAGTAAAGCGTTGTTGGTGTTGGCCTTAAGGTTAGTATAGAAACATTGTTAAAATAAATGTTTTAAAAAGAAAACCAACAAAGAAAACTTTCTTTTTTTTGTTTTCTTTTAAACTCACTATTCTATTTCAGTCTCATTTACCAAGTACATCTGTTCCACCTCTGTTCTGCATTATTCTTAGCCTGTGATGGTTACTGCAATATATGAGTGTCTCTTAGAAGCTAAAACAGATCTGGTAGATCTCAGAAATTCCTCATCTGGCATTTCAAGCAAGGCAGCTGCCAGAAAGATTCACTAGCCACTAAACCCAAGAGCTGCAAAAAGTGCTTTTCTTAGCCAAGTCTGTAAAGGTTTTCTTGTACTTCCTGCACTCATCCCTTATGACAGTATGCTTTTATCTGCCCATTGTCACTTGCCAGATTCAGCCTTTGCCAGGTGTAGTCTTTGAAGGGCTAAAGCTTTTGTTGGTGCCTTTTTTGTTCTTTAGTTATTAAAACTTACTTTCAGTTAGCTTGCATGTGGTTATTTCAAGGACATGTAATGTAAGTCTACTAGTTACTAAACAGTTACAGCTGTGTGATGGGGATAATGCACCTCTCCTGGACCAGCTCCAGGAGAGATGCATTCTGCACCAACTGGTTCCAAGCAGTATTTGGTAAGAAATGGCAGCAAGTCTCATTTCAGTTGCATTTCTTTTAACTTTCTGGATTGTTAATTACTCCCTCAACAGAACTGCTAAAATACTTTCCAGCTTCCATTTTTACCTTGTCCAAGAACATTCTAACTTGTCCTCACTAAATATGTGAGCCAAATACTATGCCTTGTATGAGGGGTACCCGGACTGACAGCTCTCCACTGGCTCATTTGTTATCTATTCAACGTTCTTAACAGCCACAGGCCAAAATCAATCGAGTGTATTCTTGGTTCTCCCTCTATACTTAAAACAAATTTTTGTAAGTTTGAGACCTTTTAAAAAGCAAAGTAAAAATTGATTTATAAGCTTATATATATTTAAAGCTACAGCATACTTTCTTATACATTCTGTATTAAAAAACAAGTCTTTGTTATCTTAATAGTGCCTTCCACCAGTTTGGACCAGCTTTCTAATATTTATCAGCCAATTCCTACTTGTTACCATCATTGAATATTTGTGATATGCACTGAACACACTTGATTCCACTCTCCAGCACAGGCTTTCTCTGTCACAAAGATCAAACCAACTCCTTCTAGAAGAATGTTTCTTTTAAGCTCTTTGGTGTCATTGTGAAACCTTCACAGTTTAGCCATGCTTAAGTAAGTACAGAAAAATCAGTTGACACGACTCTGGAGTTGTTATTTTGTCTTCATGGATGCCAGTTGTATGTTAGATCATATTGCCCAACATAGAAAAAACCATATCCTTCGAGAAACCAAATTGTCAAACCAAAAATACTAAACCAAACCCATTAGCAAGAAATTATTCAGATCATATAGCAAATCTTACAGGAAATTTTAGTTATCTTTTTAATCTGTTTCTTAACAGTGTATTTTCTCTGTTTTCTTAGGCAGAATCATGAAAAAACCACATATCTTTCAAAATCAGCAGCACTCAGTATTACATCTTAATGCAGATTTTTTAGAGCCCCAGAAGAAACCCTGTTCCTCAGTATGAAACAATGCATTTGGTATTATTCTGATAAACACAGAGAGAAAGCAGCCAAGCAGCCCACAAGAATTACCATAAGCAACATGAAACTGACATAGGAGAGAACATGAGGCTGAGAAGGGAAATTAAGTTAATGCTGATGCTACCATGAAAGGAGAAATGGCTTTTATACATGCGAAACTTACCAGGACCGTTCGCCCTTGGGAAACAAAGAAATGGCCAGATACAACCACGGTAAGGATAAGATGGCCTGATTCTTCATTTGATTCAAAAACCTTTAAAAAGAGAGACAAAACAAAACTCTAGCCTGGTAAGCACAGAATCTCCTCTTTCCATTTCTAGTGCAAAATGAAAGGTTTCAAAGGCTCTAATTTACCTCTCACCAATGCACCTTGTGCCACAGATTGGAGGCACATTTAAGATTTTTTTACTCACCCTATGTACAGATTTAACTATTTTAAACAACCACCTGAGCTCTTCCAACTTGATCTATAGTTTTTACTACCGCAGATCCCTGCTGAAGGAATAAAAACTAGTGAAACACTATTGTATCATTGAGGCGTTCACATGAGTAATTCATGAAGTAACTCCACTGCCTGCATTAGCTCTGGACTCACAGAAGTATACCTCACTTATCACTGCTTGTCACACAGTAACAGACCCCACTGCATCACACACTGCCAGCCTCCCCCACGCCACTTGTCACCTTCCAAGAGGAGGCGTTTTGCCCTTCATCCTCGCGGTCCGTCGTGGGCAGGAAGCGGCCGTAGCGCTTCAAGGGCCACGTTGTGGCGCTGCCGAGGAGGGAGG